ATAGCAGGGATTGTGGGGCTGGCGCGGGATCGGGCAGTGTTTCGTTCTGCTGTGCATGGGGTTGCTATGAGTCGGAAACGACTCGACGGCACTTAACAACAACAACAACAACAACATGCAACCAACAACAACCATTTAGTAACCTAGTGAACTAATGCAGGTACTTTGGAGGAATTTAGCAGATGGTTAAAGTGATGATTATGCTGTTCATGCCACTATTGATTAAGAAGATACAGAGGAGTTGTATTAATATTAATGGTTACACAATAAGGAATGTATCTATCTATATTTTATGTTAGCCTGAATTTACTCTGTACTCAAATGTTACAAATTCAGGATACGCCCATGCCCCAAACGTCCCTATCTTTGATCTGTGATAAAATGGTAAAGCATTTTTTTTATTAAAGATAATGTTCATCAATACTTATAACTATAATTATTTATGCTTTATCAGAAACATAAAACAAAATATTTGGATAAGCTATTAATGCTTGTCACTAACCTCTGGACTGCCACAATCACATTGCTCTGGTATTTCCAGAATTCCATTACCACAAGCTGGTTTACTGAGTCGTCCTTGGAAAGCAACTTTGGAAACTGTTTTATTCTGAAGACATTCAAATTCAGGCTGTGAAACTATACGTTTAAATTCATCCAGGCTGCAACTGCTAAAAAACTTCACACCACTGGAATGTCTAAAATTAAATCACATTCCTCAGATGAATGGAATAAAGTCAATATCAAATGAAAACTCTTTAATATGATGTAATGGATTCTATACTACTCCACTTAGAGAAGAAGAGCCAGAGGGAGAGTATTTTTAATTTCAAAAATTCAATTAAATTCTGATTTCAATTTATTTTTCAATTTTACCATCTCCAAGAAAAATAGAATTTATTTCACTGGAAAACTATACATACCTAAGGGAAAAATATGCTATTTTCTAGAATTCAGTTCTGGTTGTTCTACTTATACAGGTTTCATCGGACTGCTTGTGAGTTGGTCTTAATTAGCAATATCATTGAACAACATATTGCAAACAGTAAAGGTCATAGATTGATTTTCTTTAAATCTCACACTTCAACTATTGTTTGGCCCCTATAATATGTGCTTTTCCTGAAATCAGTATCAATTTTTCCTCTCAATTCCAATTTTCTAGGTAAATTCAACCTATATAATAAACTGATATGTAGTGGCAGAATATAAAAGAGAGAAATAAGAGCAATAACATGCTAAATCACTATGATATCTAATAAGTAGAGAAAGATGAGATAAGGGGAAAAAACATCTCTACACTGTAGTTATTCAGACTAAATCAGTAATGATATGTTAAAATACTAAACAGTGCTCGGCATATGATAAGCTCTGTTTAAGTGCTTTCTACTAATATTGTCAATCATATAATTATAACCATTATTATTTAATAAATAATGATAATTGAGAAAATGGAACCTGCTGGGAAATTTATGTGAAAACTGAGGGAATAAAAGATGGTCAATTGTGTTACTTAAAAATTATGATTTTTTTTTACTGGTAAAAAAATTAAATCAATCAATTAAAATATTTTGACATGGAAGTATATGAAATGAGTAAGCCCAAGTATTATTATTATCACTATCACCTTATATTTTACATGAATTTTTCAGTGAGTTTTTCCTTTGTTAACAGTATCACTTACAGAAATGATGTAAATGTATTACAAAATATAAACTTTTCTTTCCTAAAACAGTTAAGGGAAGATGTACTGAAAACTCTGAAAATTTTAATGTGTAATTTTTATATAGAAATCAATTCTCCTTCATAAGCAAATTATAGCAATCAAAATAAGAAAATTATTAATGTTACATTACTAAATCTTAATCCTCAGATTGCATTCAAATATCCCTGGCATACCATTCATGTTTTACAGCAAAATGATCTTGTTCAGTCAAGCACTGCATTTAGTTGTCATCTCCTTAGTAGAGTTGCCTTAATTTTGTTGACTTTCATTTCTTTGAAACACTTTATGATTATAGGTCAATTATTTGGTAGAATGTCTCCCAATTTTATTTCATAGAATGTTTTTTTATGATTAGATTAAATTTATTGTCCTGGCCAAATTATCACAGGAGTGTTGCTGTGTTTGTTCCACTGAATCCTAACAGATGACACATATTACTCATAATAGTCACTTTGATCAGTTGATTAAGGTGTATCTGCCAGTTTACACTGTATAATTTCTTTTCCTTTTCAATTAACCAGTATTTTGGGGGTAATTACTTTGATTCTATGAAAATATCCCATTTCTAATTAAAATTTTTTTTAAAAATTTTGTATTTATATCAGCACAGAGTCATGTTTTCTACTTTATCCAATGCGTTATACTCCATTAATATAACATTATTTTGGGCACTGAAATTGTCGCAGATTTGGTCAATGGGAGCCCCTTCAAACTGGCCTTTGTGTCCCTTTGAGCAGTATTTTTGACAATTGATATTCCAGGCTCATTTGTACTTTCTCTGCTTCCATACCAAAATCAGTCATTTCTCCGAAGTGCCACAGATTAGGCAATCTACTTCCATAGTGGTACTGCCTTGGAAACCCAAAGAGGGGTTGCTATGAGTCAGATCTGATTCGACAGCAATGAGAGTAAACATCTGGCTCTGATTAACACATGTGCTTATTGTTGTCAGATGTCTTAGGATTCAGAACAAGACTCTATTAGCATCTTAAGAAATTTTCATAGTCTCTTTCATCTCATTAGCAATTTAGATTCTTGCCAAGTTTTGGCTACCGTAATGGAATTAGTGTAATAATATATCATGCTCATGGTGACAATAACCTTTGGTGGTATAGGCTATTCAGTAAATTCTGGGTTCCCAGGATTATACTACTTTCAAGAGCCCTCATTTTGTCCTTCCATTTCCTCCCATACAGTTGTTTACTTCATGCAGGACTTATTTTCTCAGTGGACTGGCCCCACCTGCATTCCACCTTTTGGGAAGTGGTATATGCTTTGGGTTTCTTCACCCCCACCCTTATTGTTATATTTTGTGAGATAATTTGGGAAGATTAAAATGCCATGGTCCCTCAATCCTCTCACCTGTTCTGAACACACATTTCTCCATAGGTTTCCTAATAGTTTCTTTCTTTCCATTCGTCCTCACCATGTATTCCCCCTTTTCCCTCAATGACTCAGTGAGATATATGACAGTTGCTCAAATCTTGTTGTTTAGGCACCTCTTTTTACTCTATAACTTCCTTCAAAATGATCTCATCTCTCACCATAATTTTAACTTCCATAAATATGCTGATGGCTCACACATTTTAGATCCCTGTCCTCTGAGATCTAGACACACAGAACTAACCATATACATTTAACAACTCTAATTGGATATGTTAGAATACCTCAACTTTAACACACACAAACTTGTTTTGATGATTTCCCTGTATTTTTCTTCATTCATAAAATACTGGCATTTATTCAGTGTTTGTTAATAAATAGTGATATCCAAAAATCTAAAAATAATTCTTTCTTTCATCCCAATTAACTATAGATTGTTATGACAATCCTCATTATCTCCCAAATATTATTATACATATTTTGCTCCCTCTCCTATATTTTATATTCATTTTACAAAATAACATTTTATTCTCCATATTGCATAAATCTATTAAAACATGTTTTGTTATATTTATAAAATCCAAATGCCCATATTATCATTGCATGATTTGGTTCTTTCCTACATTTCCTATATTTATATTGCCTTGTGTACTTCTTTCTCTGACTCATAGTTTTTTAGACTCATAGTATTTTATTTTATTTTTCATATGCCTAAATGTTTTTCCTGTATTACCAAGCACTTTTTAAATTTCTACACTCCATCTTCACACTCTCAACCCCACTCTCCTAGTTTCAGGTTATTGTCTGCTTAGCACATCATGCTAGTTCCTGTCCAAGTATTTTATTTGCTTACTCTGAGCAGTTCTACCACAATATCTCTACATGATTGATTCATTTGTTGTCTTTTGTGTGTCAGAATAAGTCACATTTACTCAGAGAAACATATCCAGACAAATTTTATCATAAACAGATCCTTTTCTTCATTTTTTTTCCCTGTAATTCCATGCTGTTTCTTTCCTTCCTGACACCTAGTATAAGCTGTTTTTATATTCTTCATCCTTATAGCTCTGGTAGCATAGTGGCTAAGACACTTGCCTGCTAACCAGACGGCTGGCGGTTCAAACCCACCAGCCACTCCTCGGAAGGAAGGTTGGGCAATCCTACTATCCGTAGTGATACTGCTTCGGAAACCCAAGGAAGGGTCGCTATGAGTCAGGTTTGACTCTACGGCCCACAACAACAACAATCCTTATATCTACTTTTTAAAAAAATTGTTTTCTGTCCCTGATGGGGTAATATAAGATATTTAGAACATCTTGTTAATCATTTATAACACAAATAAACACACAGCTGCAATATGATAAAACCAAAAAAATACCCAATTCTATTCTGACTCATAGCAAACCTATAGGACACAGTAGAACTGACCCATAGACCAGGCTGTAAATCTTTATAGAAGCAAACTGCCTCATATTTCTCCCATGGAGCAACTGGTGGGTTGGAACCATCAATCTTCTGATTACAAGCCAAATACCTTAACCACTCTGTGCCACCAGTGTTTCTTAGGGATACAATAATCCTCACTACACACACACACACACACACCCCACACTTCAGGAGTTTTGGTCCTGTGGTGGATAAGGCATTTGGCTTCTAACCAGAAAGTTGGTGGTTCAAACCCACCAACTGCTCTGTGGAGGAAGATGAGGCAAGGCAATCTACTCTCGTAAAGATTTACAGCTTTGGAAACTCACTGTGAGTCAGAATTGACTCTATGGCAGTGGATTTTTTTGGTAACTATATAATGATAGTGCCTAATGCACTTGACCGCTAACCAGAAGGCTGGCGGTTCAAACCCACCAGCCACTCCTTGGAAGGAAGATGGGGCAGTCTACTTCCGTAGTGATACTGCCTCGGAAACCCAAGGAGGGGTCGCTATGAGTCGACAACAACATATAATGAATTTGAGCTCAGTACTCTAGTACACTCCAGAAATTCATCAATAACATCAACTTTCTTTCTATAATAAAACATTAAGTATAGAACTATTAAGTACATTTTCCTATACCCAATTCCCTTTAACTAGTTTTTTTTAAATATGTATTTACTAAAAATATTCACACTAAAATAAAGTTATATTTACAAAGGTTATACATCAAAAAATACTACAAACATTTCTCCAAGATAAAATACATATTTGATAAAAAAAAAATATAACAGTAACACCTTACATTGCTTCAGGATTCATTATGCACATATTTCCTGGACAATAACATTTGTAGATGTCATCATATGTCAATCCTAGATTAATTCCAATCAACTGTGTCACAACAGCTGAAAATGTCTCTAAAGTTATCCTCTTTGGATACTAACCAGAAATAAAAAAGAAAAGAAGAGAAGAAGCAAGCATTTGTGAATCTATTGCCTAGGTAAAAATACAAGGTTAAAGAAACTTATAAACTTGTAAATCAAGACTAATCATTTTCTTATAAATACATTTAGGTTTCTTTCTGAATAGTAGTATTTTTAATTCAAATGGGATTACCATATAACAAAACCAATAATATCACACTTTATGACATCTACTTATTAAATTAAATTCCATACACCAAACTTCATTGCCTTTGCATTGATTCTGACTTGTAATAACCCATTAGGACAGAGTAGAACTGCCTCATGGGGTTTCCTATGCTGTAATCTTTATGGAAGCAGACTTCCATATCTTACTCAACTAGAGACACTGGTAGGTTTAAACCACAGGTGTTTTAGGTGGCAGTACAGTGTGCTAACCAATGCACCACCAGGGTTCTTAAAATTCCAAATACCTTCACAAATTTTTTGGGAAGTGGATGTATTGCTTCAGTAACTACATTCGTTTTCAAGTGAACACTTGGGAGAGATATACAGATTCTGAAGTGTTGAATTCACAATCAGTTTGGCCTCAAAAATAAGTTTTAGGAGAAAAGATTCATTAGAAAAAAAAAAAGTTCCAAAGTATAAAAGGTAGTAGGAACTTTGGAGTAGCACTTCTTTTCTCTTAATAAATAATATTTTGGATGTTCTGGAAGATGGAAGAATGAGCAGGTGTAAGTTCCTAGCCCTCCCCAGAAGCTCACGAGAAAACACAACAGCAATTCTGTTTCCAGCCCTGATGGATCCTGAATAGGTGAGCAAAGGATTGCTACAATGACTTTCAGGGGGCCCAAGTCAATGAAAGGGACCATACGGTAGGAGAAGCATATTTTCTACATGATCTGGTAACACAGGTCTGCAGACAGCTTCAGAACAATGCACATGACCTCAGAGAACATATGGCTTGCCTATACACAGTAACAGACCCTCAACGCTAGACAAAATTTTCAGAATTGATCTCACTGGTAGACTGTTCAAGGTTTTCCCACTGATATCCCATTACTGGTGCCTTCAGTGGATGGTAGCTATGATCCTAGGTAACCCGTGCATTGCCTAAGGAAGGAAAAGAAAAACAATCTCTAGCTACAGTTAAGTAGGACCTCACAGAATGTGGGAGGAGACTTCAAGCAAGAACGGGAGGACTTCATAGAACTCCTTACCAACAACTCTTTCAGTCTGGGCTTTTTGTTCAGTTATAGGTGTATTGCAAAAGGTCATAACTGCCATAGGGCAACGAAGACAGATAAGCAAAGAAAGAAGGTTGAGCACTCTGGAAAAAGATTGATTAGTGTTTGCTTTTAGATTTGTGTGAGAGCTGCTGAAAAATGGAAATCTGGCCTGGACTTTCCAAAAATGAGCTCTCACAGAGAGGGTAGTTATAAACAAGGTTTGAGGGTGATGCTCATCTAAGTGTTTCTTCCACAATACAGTGTTGTCAAAAGCCACTGACTACTGAGGAAAACTGAGAAAGCTGATATCTAGCAAAATTTTAATATCTTGATTTGAAAAAATAAAAATGTCAGAAAATACACTAAAACAATGGAAATGATGGCTCACTCAGCTGAATAAGACAAAGAACAAACAAAATTTCTATGAAAGCACAAATAATGAATACAATAGAAGAATGCAATATAAAAATATTAAACAAGTTTAAAGACCTTAGGGTAAACACAGCTAAAATGCTCCTTAGAAGCAGGTATTTTAGACATGTGATCAGGAGAGACCAATTCCTAAAGAAGGACATTATGCTTGGCATAGTAGAAGGTCAGTGAAAAAGTAGAAGACCCTCAACAAGACAAACTGACACAATGACTACAACAATGGACTCAATAACACAATGACTACAACAATAGACTCAAACATAGCAACACCTGTAAGGATTGAGCTGGGCCAGGCAGTGTTTCCTTCTGTTGTCCATAGTGTTGGGATGAGGTGGAACTGACTCACTGGCATTTAATAAAATAACAATAATGCTTTAAGACATAGTTTTCAACAATGGGTCCTTAGATATGACACCAAAAGCACAAGCAACAAAAGACAAAATGGATATAAGGTCTTCACCAAAATGAAAAATTTTGTCTATCAAAGGACTTTATTAAAAATGTGAAGAGACAACCTAATGAAAGAAAATATGGGGGACCATTTATCTGACAACAGTTTACCCATAATATATAAAAACTCCCACATGTCAACAATGAAGGCAAACAATCCAATAAAAAGTGGGCAAAGGACATTAATAGACTTTTCACCAAAAAAGATATACAAATAGCTGACAAGCACATGAAAAATCCTCAACACTATTAGTCATTAACCAAACAACCAAACTCACTGCTGTAGAGTCAGATCTGACTCACAGTGAACCCTCCTTAGGTTTTCGAGGCTGTAACACTATGGAAGTAGATCTCCCAATCTTTCTTCCAAGGAGTGGCCGGTGGGTTTGAACTGCCTGCCTTCTGGTTAGCAGTCAGATGCCTTCGGTGCTATGCTACTGGAGATGCAAGTCTAAAGCAACACTTCACATCCACTAAGATGGCCAAGATTAAAAAACAAATAAACAAAACAAAATGAAAAAAACAGATGTTGGTAATGATGTGGAGAAACAGAGCCTTCATTAAATGCTGGTAGATTTGTAAAAAGGTACAGCCTCTGTGATAAACAGTCTGGTGGTTCCTCAAAGTACTAAATATATTATATTAAAATTATTTATTATATTAATTAAATATATTACTGTGCAATCCAGCAATTCCACCCCTAGTTTTATACCGAAAGGAATTGAAGCAGAAACTCAAACAGATACGTGTATGCCAATGTTGACTGCAGCACTATTCAGAATACCCAAAGATAGAAAACAGCTCAAAAACTCATCAATGGAAGAATGGATAAACAAAAGGGGGTATACATATAATGGGGTTATTATTCAACTATAAAGAGAAATGAATCCTGATACATGATACAACATGGATAAACCTTGATAATATCATTCTGAGAGAAATAAGTCTGTCACAGTAGACAAATATGATTCCACTGATATGAACTATCTTTAGTAGCAAATATATAGACATAAACTTACTAGTAGTTGCCAGAGGCAGGAAGGATGAAGGAAGAGAAGTGATTTCACTCCTTATGAGATACTAATCTTCAGTTAAGGGTAATAGAAAAAGTTGGAAAAGGAAACCAGTGATGGTTGCACAGCATAAGAAATACACTTTATGTCACTAAATTGTACCCATCAAGAATGTAGAAATGGCAAATATTTTGTTACATGCATATTTTCCATGATAAAAAAAAAGAAGAGAAAATAATAGTATTTGCATATCAAAATCTAAAAAAAATCATAAAGATTTGGCAAAACAGAGTTGGAGATATACTGCACATACTTTTGTTTCTTCAAGTGGATATAAACTTTCAAATTGTGATATCATTACTGAAGATATTTGAAAAAATGCATACCAGAGCGATTCCTGCAGCAAACTGTGCACTGCATGCCATTCCCTGATATGTTGCTCCCATATAATTAGGATGGTCCCTATAACTAAATAATAAATATATGAAAACATTTAAAGTTATCAACAATTGAATAACCTTTAAAAATAAATTTCCTCAGTAAAGCCATGTTTATCTAAATGTATGACTAGTACTTTAAAATATGATGTCTTATGCTTTCAATCATTTTTTATTTGGGTAAATGTCCTTAGTTCCAATGAATATAAATTCTAAAGGCTACTTGATGGCACATAACAACAACAGCAACAACAACTTTAATATTACAAGATACACACCTTTAAGCCTGTTGTTGTTGTTGTTATGTGCCATTGAGTTGCAGTATTTAATCCTCCCCACAATTAATACACTGCTGTTAGCATCCTCTGATTAGGAATCGACTCGATAGCAGTGGGTTTGGTTTTGGTTTGGTTGTCATCATCGGACATATAGAAATCTATCATGAAAATATCAAGATGTACTGACTTTCATGGTTTGCATTAAATGAACCAAAAGGGGAAAAAAAAAAAAAAGAGAGAACTCAAAAAGATATTTGAGTTGGGGAAGAGGGAGAAAGCAACATACTATACAGTGGACTAAGAAGAAGGGAGAATTGTCTTCACATTTTAGTCCTTAGTTACTGTTACTCCAGAATCTCCCACCTGAATTTAGATTCCATAAAACATTTATACATTTTCACATGTTGATTAACATCTTTAGAACTATGTTTTTTGCTTTTAGCTGTAAAATAATCAATTTAGTGCAACAATACAGAGTAACCAAATAGCTACATTTTAAGTCAATATTTCTGGTGACCATGGTGACCAGGTTGTTGTGGTTGTTAGGGGCCATGGAGTTGGCTCTGACTCATTGTGACCCTATATAAAACAGAACAAAACACTGCCCAGTCCTGTCCAGAGTAACAATCCTTGCTATAACTGAGCCTATTGTTGCAGCCACTGCGTGAATTCATCTGTGTCTTTCTCTTTTTTGTTGACCTTCCACTTTACCAAGCATTATATCCTTCTTCAGGGAATGGTCCTTTCTGAATACATCACCAAAGCAGATGAGACGAAGTCTGGACATTCTGTCTTCCAAGGCACATTCTGGTTGCACTTCTTCCATGACAGATTTGTTAGTTCTTTTGGCAGTCCATGGTACTTTCAGTATTCTTTGCAAACACCACAACTCAAAAGCATCAACACTTCTTTATCTTCCTTGTTCACTGTCCGGCTCTCATATGTATATGAGGTGACTGAAAATACCATGGCTTGGGTTAGGCACACCTTAGTCTTCAAGGAGACATCTTTGCTCTTCAGTACTTTGAAAGAGGTCTCTTGCAGCAGATTTGACCAGTGGAATATGTTGTCTGATGTCTTGACTGCTGCTTCCATTGGTGTTGATTGTAGAATCAAGTAATATGAAATCTTTAACAACTTCAATCTTTTCTCCATTTACTGTGATGCTGCCTATTGGCCCAGTTGTGAGGATTTTCATTTTCTTTATGTTAAGATGTAATCCATACTGCAGACTGAAGTCTTTAATCTTCACCAGTAAGTGCTTCAAGTAGTCCTCACTTTCAGCAAGCAACGTTGTGTCATCTACATATCACAGGTTGTTAATGAGTCTTCCTCCAATCCTGATGCCACATTCTTCTTCATCTAGCACAGCTTCTCGGATTATTTGTTCAATATACAGATTGAATAAGTATGGTGAAAGGATACAACCCTGAAGCTCACCTTTCCTGATTTTAAACTATGCAATATCCACTTGCTCTGTTTGAACCTGGTCTATGTACAGGTTCCTAATAAGCACAATCAAGTGTTCTGGAATTCTCATTCTTCTCAGTGTTATCCATAATTTGTTATGATCCACACAATCAAAATCTTTTGCATAATCAATAAAACACAAGTAAATATCTTTCTGGTATTCTTTGTTTTGAGCCAAGATCTATCTGACATCAGCAATGATATTCCTCATTCCATGTCTTCTTCTGAATCCAGCTTGCATTTCTGGAAGTTCTCTGTCAATATATTGCTACAACCATTTTTTAATTATCTATAGCAAGATTTTACTTGAGTTTGATATTAATGATATTGTTCAATAATTTTCACATTCTGTGCCATCACCTTTCTTTGGAATGGGTACAAATATGGATCTTTTACAGTCAGTTGGCCAGGTAGATATCTTCCAAATTTCTTGGTGTAGCCAAGGAAGTGCCTCCAGCACAGCATCTGTTTGTTGAAACATCTCAACAGCTATTCCATCAATTCCTGGAGCCTTGCTCTTTGCCAATTCTTTCAGTGAAGTTTCAACTTCTTCCTTCAATACCATTTGTTTTTGATCATTTGCCATGTCTTGAAGTGGATCAATTCTTTTTGGTACAGTGCTTCTGTATATTCTCTCCATCTTCTTTTGATGTTTCCTGCATCAGTCAATATTTGCCCATAGAATCTCTCAGTATTGCAACTCAAGGCATGACTTTTTTCTTCAGTTCTTTTCAGTTTGAGAAATGCTGAGCATGGTCTTCCCTTTTGGCTTTCTAACACCAGGTGTTTGCACATTTCATTATAATAATTGACTTTGTCTTCTTGAGCTGCTCTTTGACATCTTCCATTCATCTCTTTTATCTTGTCATTTATTTCATTTGCTTTAGCTACTCTGTTCCAGGGCAAGGTTCAGAGTCTCTTCTGACATCCAATTTGGTCTTTTCTTCCTTTCCTGTCTTTTTAATGACCTTTTGCTTTCTTTATGGATGATGTTCCCGATGTCATCCCATAATTCCTCTGAGTTTTGGTCATTGGTTTTCACTGCATCAAATCTATTTTTCAGATGGTCTCTAAATTCAGGAGGGATATATTCAATGTCATATTTTGGCTCTCCTGAACTTGTTTTAATTGTCTTCAGCTTCAACTTGAACTTGCATATGAGCAGTAGATGGTTTGTTGCACAGTCAGCTCCTGGCTTTGTTTTGGCTGAAGATGTTGAGCTTCTCCATTGCCTCTTTCCACAGATGTAATGGATCTTATTCCTGTGTAGTCCACCTGGTGAGGTTCACATGTATAGACGCTGTTTATGTTGTTGAAAAATTTATGTGCAATGAATAAATTATTGGTCTTGCGAAATTCTATCATGTGATCTCCAGCGTTATTTCTATCACCAAGGCCATATTTTCCAACTACAGGTGATTTGTCTTTGTTTCCAACTTTTGCATTCCAAACACCAGTGATAATCAACACATCTTGATTTCATGTTCAGTCAATTTCAAACTGCAGAAGTGGTAAAAATCTTCAATTTCCTCATCTTTGGCTTTGGTGGTTGGTGCATAGATTTGAATAATAGGAGTATTAACTTGTATTCCTTGAGGTCTATGGATATTATCCTATCACCGACAGCATTGTACTTCAGGGAAGGTCTTGAAACATTTTTCTGGCTCTGAATGCCATGCCATTCCTCTTCAATCTGTCATTCCTGGCATGGTATATCATATGGTTGTCTGATTTGAAATGGCCAAAGCCAGTCCATTTCAGCTCACTAATGCATAGGATATTGATCTTTATGTGTTCCATTTCATTTTTGACAACTTCCAATTTTCTTAGATTCATACTTGTACATTCCATGTTCCAATTATTAATGGGTGTTTGCAGATATTGCCTCCTAATTTGAGTCATGCCACACCAGCAAATGGAGGTCCCAAAAACTCTACTCTATCACATCATTAAGGAACTCTGGTTTGCTCAGTGCCTAAGGCATTTGACTGCTAACCAGAAGTTTGATTGTTCAAACCATCAGCCGCTCCAAAGAAGGAAGCCTGTGCAATCTACTTCCATAAAGACTTACTGCCTCAGAAACTCAGTGGAGGTTGCTATGAGTCGGAATTTACTTGATGGCACTGAGTTTGGTTTTTGGTTTGTCCACATCATTAAGTTTGGCTCTACTCTGAGGAGGCAGCTCTTCCCAACTTGTATTTTGATCACCTTCCAACCCAAGGGGCTCATTTTCTGGCACTATATTGGACAATGTTTCAGGGCTATTCATAAAGTTTTCTAGTAATATATCAGACAGTGTTTCACTGCCATTAATAAGGTTTTCATTGGCCAGTTCTTTGAGAAATGGGTGGCCCCTTCCTTCTTCCTAGGCTTAGTCTGGAAACTCTGCTGAAACCTGTCCACCATGGGTGACTCCACTGGTATTTGAAATACAAGTGGCACAGCCTCCAGCCTCACAGCAACACACAATCCACCTCAGTAAAACAAACTGACTGATGAGTGGTGGATGGTGATCATGGGGATAGTAAATTCATCTATTTCAGGTATGAACTATTTTAATAGTTCATGTTACAACTAAATCAAAATTGTATGCAATTATTTCATTCTGTTAACTAATTTACATATTATTTAATAAATATAATATTTTCAATTATTTACCTCCGAGGAAAACTGTGAAAACCAAATATGCTTCATGTTTATTGCAAATTTTCCATATTTTCCATCTTATCATTACGTTTCCAAAGGTGATGTCATTAATAAATCATGCCTTGCATCATTTGAAGGAGCTCTGGTGGTGTAATGCCTAAAGCATTTGACTGCTAACCAGAAGGCTTGCAATTCAAACCCAGAAGCTACTCTCAGAAGGAAGATTGGGCAATCTACTTCCATAGTGATACCGCCTCAGAAACCCAAGCAGGGGTAGCTATGAGTTGGATCTGACTTGATGGCAGTGAGTTTGGTTTTTGGTTTTGGTTTTGTATGACTTGATGTCCTACACTGATACTAAATATTTATATTTTTAATTTTGCCAACATGGAATGTGTACATTCTTCTTTTAATGTCTTATCATCATACCAAATAAATTTTATATATAATCGTGATGCTCCAAGCTCCAAGCTCACTGCCGTGGAGTCAGATCTATCTCATAGCGACCCCTCTTATGGTTTCTGAGGCAGTATCACTACAGAAGTAGATTGCCCAACCTTCCTGTGATAGCTAGCAATCAAATAAGCTGACAGATCTTATATCAATTATATATCAATCTTATATAAATTCAGAATAAATGGCTTACATCAACAAGAATGCCATATCATTAGGCCTTTGAACCAAATATGCTTGTTTCCATGCCAAAAACCTTTGTAGCACATCATCAGGATCTCCATTAGTTGAAATCTTATTTTTATCTGACCACAGCTCCAAATAAGATAATGTAATAGCCATTTTAAACTGGGAAAATATCTGAAAATAGAAGATACATGATATACAGCTCTGGATAACCACAAATATAACATTATATTTCTATACATAATGCTAATACATCCAATTTATTCTTTTTTTAGAGATTAGTCCATTAGTTGATGAAACTAGTTAGTAGTACTATACATTTCATAAAAAATGAAAATGCTTTTATACAAACAATGTTACTATATATTTGAGAAGATCAGGTGGGGGTAGACTAATAGGATCATATCCATATCCTGTTAGTCCAGATTTGGCTGGAGATAGTTTTACATATATATTTATGCTACAAAATTATTCACATACATTACAGAAGTAACAGAGGAAAAGGTCAAAGTAGCTTCTCAGAGACAACAAAAAACCTTGAGGGAAAGAATCACAGGGCCTTCGGGCTCAGTACCATAGTCTCAGGGGACATGATGCTCAACTGGCATGACATAGTACATAAAAATCTTGTTCTACATCTCACTTTGGTGAATACTTCTTACTGGGGTCTTAAAAGCTTTTGAGTGGCCATCTAAGATGAAACTATTGGTCTCCTCTCATCTGGAGCAAAGAAGCATAAACAAAAAATCATTTGGAAAAAATTAGTCCAGAGATATGATGGACCATGAGGACTTCAGCCTTCTTGACCTTGAGACCAGTAGAACTAGATGGTGCCCAGCTACCAAACTGACCCACTCAGGAAGGGATCAAAATTGGAGATCTTGGATATAGCAGGAGGAAAAATGTGGAACAAAATTCAAAAACAGAAAAGTGACCAAAATTACTGGTCAGATAGAGACTGGTGGAATCCCCAAGACTATGTCCCCTAGTTATCCTTTGGGCCTGGAAATGGACTCACTTCCTTGGATTGGCTCTCAGTCCAGCAGTAGAAAGACCTACAAGCAGAGCACCTAGCCCACGGAGATGCCCCCACCTACCCTAGAAAGATGTAGCCTTTAGATCAATGAGCCATGAGACACCAGAGGGGCAGCATTCACATAGAGGGAAAGCAGGACAGACAGGAATGTATAGATAAGAAGAGCACAGGGAAGGGGCAGTCACAGGGAGGAGACGGGAGGAGAGTTTTTTTATGGTTGGGGATTATAATCTGGCCATGAAATCAAATGTGCGTAACTTGGGAGTAAAATGCATTTGCTTTTTAAATTTGGATCCAAATCACAATAAAAAAAAGAAAGTTGGCTTCCTGTAAAGTAAAATTTTTTTAAAAAAAGAATTATTTAAATATGAAATATAAATACTTACAGTGTTGATAAGGCCAAAGATGTGGACAACTTTCTCCACTGCAGATGGCACCTCAGAGCCCATATAATCATACTGAAAGACAAATTTTGTTTCTTTATCACAAGTGAACATTATTAAAGTACTATATTAAAAATGAATATAAATCATTAAAATAGTGCAGTCCTCAGGTAAAGGGATAAAAGTGGAATTAGGATTTACCAAGAGGTTACTAAGTTTTAGGCATATCCTAGGGACTTTACAAGTGAATCAATAGTATTAGAATGAAATAGTTGTGATTAGTTTCTTTTTCTAGATACAGAAATTAAGGGTCAAGTGGTTAAGTTTCCAGCATTATATACTTAGTACAGACATAAACAATCACTTGAACTTATTTCTAATATAGCCAATTTTATCAACTATAGTATGCTTCTTTTTTTTGTCTTCACCCCAATAAAATAACATAAATATATACCATGGCTAAATAATCTATGTTTGAAGCACATAGCTGTGAGCGTCGTAACAGTGAACAATTTCATGAATATGACCTCATTCAAGGGAATAAAAAATCATAGTATTTCCTCTGAAATTCTAAATGTGTGCTGAGAACTCAAAAAGTGTCAGGTTGAGATCTTCAGTGAGTTCAGAAGACTCCTGACAGAAAATTAAATGCAGTGCTTATTAGAGTTCTTTTCAGATGAAGATGAAAGAGATGTGATCTTCTCGGCTCTTTGAAGTCCAAACTTGTTGATGTTGTGTATCAAGCTGCCCCCAATAACCACACTGCACGTTTATGTCATGTAGCATGGATGCAAAGCTAAAAATATGAAATATAAGATAACAGAAAGCAAAAATGTCATAGAAATGAATTTAAAAAATAAGTAATCACAAAATATTAATGGACTGAACTCTAGTTAAATGACAAGGGCTGTAAAAAGTCTCCTCTATGCTAACCAGAAGGCTGGTGGTTCAAACCCACCAGCTACTCCTCGGAAGGAAGATGGGGCAATCTACTTCTGTAGTGATACTGCCTTGGAAACCCAAGGAGGGGTCGCTATGAGTCGGGTCCGACTAGACGGCACATAACAACAACAACAACAACATGCCCAATTAAAACAAAACTCTCAAAATATATGGAAATAGAAGTACTGAGAGTGAAAGAATGAAAAGATAAACTGGAATAATATGAGACCAAAACCTCATATAGTAGTTTTATATGAATAAAGCATCAAGGCAAAAAACCAAATAGATACAATTATTATCACAACATATCATTAAAATATGTGATTCATTATAGATTTGTTTTTAACTAATAGCATATCTAAAAAATATTTAAAGCAAAATTTAACTGAATTACAAAGGTAAATGGACCTCTATAGTGAGATTTTTATCATTCTCTGAATAACTGATAAAGCACAAATTAACAGCAGAAATACATAAAATTTCAACAACCTAGGCAAAAGTTAGCTATAAATATACTTATATAATAGCTTATATGCAACAACTAGCAAATATATTTATTTCAAGCATAAGAAAATTTTATATAAATTGTACTATATGGGTCTATTTTCACGGCTATTCATAAGGTTTTCAGTGGCCAACTTTTTTAGAAGTGGATGGCCACATCCTTCTTCCCAGTCTGTCTTTGTCTAGAAGCTCTGTTGAAACCTTTCCATGATGCTACCAGTATTTGAAGTGCTCAAGGCTTAGCCTCTAGCCTTACAGCAACATGTAAACCCACTACAGTACAACATACTAACAAATGAGTGGTGATTAGCTTCCTTTTTCTAGATATAGAAATTAAGGGTCAGATAATTAAGGTTCCATAATTGTATACTTAGTAAAGATATAAACAAGTACTCAAATTTATTTTTAATAAAGCCAATTATATCTGTTAATCACTCATTAATAATCAGAACATGGAATGCATGAAGAATGAATCTTGGAAAATCAGAAGTTGTCAAAAATGAAATGTAATGGACAAAAATCAGTATCCTTGGCATTACTAAACTGAAATGGACTGGTATTGGCCATTTCAAATCAGACAATTATATGATCTATTACACAGGAAATGACAATTGAAGAAGAATTGTGATTCATTCATCGTCAAAAAGAACATTTCATGATCTATCCTGAAGTACAATGCTGTCAGTGATAGGGTGGTGCAGTGCCTAAGGCATTTGACTGATAACTAGAGGCTAGCGGTTCAAACCCATCAGCCACTCCTTGGAAGGAAGACCGGGCAATCAACTTCCATAGAGATACCACCTCAGAAACCCAAGGATGGGTCACTATGAGTTGGAAATGACTCGATGGCAATGCTTTTTTTTTTTTTTTTTAACAAGGAAGACCAGTTAATATGACTATTATTTACATTTACACACCAACCACTAAAGCCAAACATGAAGAAATTGAAGCTTTTTACCCATTTCTGTAGTCTGAAATTAACCAAACATGCACTCATGATGTATTGATTATTGCTAGTGATTGGAATGTGAAAGTTGGAAACAAAGAAGAACCGTCAATAGCTGAAGAAGATGGCATCATTGCTGATGTGAGATGGATCTTGGCTGAAAGCAAAGAATATCAGAAAGACATACACCTGTGTTTTATTGCCTTTACAAAGACATTCGACTGTGTGGATCATAACAAATTATGGATACCATGGTGAAAAATAGGAATTCTGGAACACTTAATTATGCTCAGGAGGAAACTGTACATAGACCAAGAGGCTGCCATTGGAACAGAACAAGGTTTAAAATGGTTTCAAATCAGAAAGAGAGTGCGTCAGGGTTATATTCTTCCATGATACTTATTCAATCTTTATGCTGTACAAATAATCCGGGAAGCTGGACTATATGAAGAAGAGCATGGCATCAGGATTGGAGGAAAACTCATTAACAATCTGTGATATGCAGATGACACAACCTTGCTTGCTAAAAGTGAAGAAGACTTGAAACACTTACTGATGAAGATCAACAACTACAGTTTTCAGTATGGATTACACCTCAATATAAAGAAAATGAAAACCTTCACAACTGGACCAATAAGGAACATTATGATAAATGGAGAAAAGATTGAAGTTGTCAGGGATTTCATTTTGCTTGGATCCACAATCAACACCCATTGAAGCAGCAGTCAAGAAATCAGATGTCCTATTTCACTGGGCAAATCTACTGGAAAAGACCTTTTTTAAAATGTTAAGAAGCAAAGATGTCACTTTGAAGACTAAGGTGCACCTGACCCAAGCCATGGTATTTTCAATCATCTCATGTGCATGTGAAATCTTGACAATGAATAAGGAAGATGGAAGAATAATTGATGCCTTTGAATTGTGGTACTGATGAAGAAAACTGAAAATATCACAGACTTCCAGAAGAACAAGCAAATCTTTCCTGAGAGAAGTGCATCTGGAATGTTCCATAAAAGCAAGAATGGTAATACTTCCTCTCATCTACTTTGGTCATATTGTCAGAAGGGACCATTGCCTTGAGAAGGATATCATGTTTGCTAAAGTAGAGTGTCTGTGAGGAAGGGGAAGACCCTCAATGAGATGGACTGACACAGTGGCTATAATGATGGGCTCAAGCATAAAAAGAATTGTGAGGATAGTACAGGACCAGTTAGTGTTTCATTCTGTTGTACATGGGGTCACTATGAGATGGAGTTGATCAAGGGCACCTAACAACAACAGCAACAAAGTAGAGGGTCAGGAAAAAAGGGAAAGACCCTCAAAAAGATGGACTGACAATGTGGCTGAAATGATGGGCTCAAGCATAGCAAGGATTGTGAGGATGATGCAGGACCAAACACTATTTCATTCTGCTGTACATAGGGTTGCTATGAGTCAGAACTGACTTGATGGTATCTAACAATGACTTATGAGTCTATAAAATGGTTTTGTGAATATAAAAATAGTGTCAGACAGATAATATTATCCATATTATATCCAACCATATTGCAGCTGAGTTACAGTAGATTTGATAAAATTATTTTATTAATGTTAAATTTATAGAGATTGGTGACTTTGTTGTGATTATATGAAATAACTTCCTTATTCTAGATAAATACATAAAGAAATTATGAAAATTTGAAATCATGATGAAACAAAATCTTTCAAGTGTTAAGGGGAAGTAAAGACAACTTTAGATAAATAAAAGCTAAGAAAATTGACAAAGAATTGAAAAGAAATATCAATTAGAAATGCAGACCTACAAGAAGCAATGAAAATCTTTGGAAAGGACAAAAATGTGTAGAAATATGAGACTGTATTAGCTTTTCTTAATTTCTTTAAAACTCATTTAGCAATGGACTGTTTAATTAAATATAATTCATGTTGTGTTTTATAACACATGGGGAATTCAAATATAACAATATCACAAAGGGGTTAAATAAAATTTTACTGTTGTAGGCTTTATAATTATATATGAAGTGGTGTAGCAGTGATTCAAGTTAAGTTTTGATAAATTAAGAATCTTAATTGGACCACGTAGAGAAACTACTTGGGGTTGGAGGAAGATATAACAGAAAAATCCATTAAAGTAGAAAAAAATAAAATACTAAAATAACTCATTAATCCAAAAGTAGAAAAGGATGAACAAAAGGGTAAGTTATAAGATATATTGAATACTAACAGTTACATGTTAATAAACCTAGACCCATAGTTATCAGTACTTTCAATAAAAACAAATCAGCAAATGCTCTAATGAAAAAGCAAGTGTTGTTTGACTCAATAGAGAAAATGACCTATTAATTTTCTGTTTAACGGTGACACACTTTAAAACTAAAAGCACATAGGTTTAATGTAAAAAGAGTATAAATGCTAATCTAGGATATTATAAAGAAATTTTCATTTTTAAAAAACTTTCCATAATGACTTTTTCACTGAAAATATGTTTTCATGTTATTGAGCTAAGTGGAGAGACAAAAACAGGATTTATAGATTTAATTTTTGTGACCTTATGGGGGTGGGTGACTGTGGTAAAGCATAATTCTAATGCATGTGATCCTGGTTTTAAGCCAAATCCTATTATACCCAAAGTAATAACAAGAAAAATCTAAATGACTCCAAAAAGGTATTTACTAGTAAATTTTACTGCATTGGGTTAAATATATATTGGATGCTATGTAAATATTAAATATTAAAATTAAATTGATTATGTGGGAATGCACTACAAAACAGTTCATAAAACAGCATATAAACCAAAAACTATGACTATATACGATGTACAACTACCTATCTAGCATCTATCTACCTATCTATCTATCTATCTGTCTATCTATCTATCCATCTACCTATCTTTTCAAAAGGAGTCCTTGCATGGCACTCTCAACTATTAGCTGAAAGGTTGATGATTTCAGCCCCCTCAGAGATACCCCAGAAGACAGAGACTGGTCTGGGGATGTGCTTTGGAAAGGTCACAGCTTTGATAACCCTATTATAACCCACAATACCACTCTGCACAGTCTGGGTTACCATGAGTCAGAATCAACTCAATAGAAACTAATAACAACAATATATATTGAAAAAAACAACAACAAAAAAAAAAGAAATAAATTCATATCGCTTATTTCCTTGAAATAAAATTACATTTGCTTTTCCTGTATTACAGTGTCCATTTATCCTTTCCTGTTTAATTTCTATAATAAAATTATTAAAGATCTAAATGTTTCCTATTATGACTAAAATCTAGAACATTATGATACTCATGAAGAGATTGTACAAAAATATTAGTGATATGGACAGATTAGATTTTGGACATAAGTTTTTACTAAAACTGATTGTATATATTAAAAAAAATTTCCATTACCAAATGAATGTTCCTATGAATGATGATCCTCATTTTTAAAATACAGAACTTCCACTAGAAAACTCAAGTGATTATAAAGCATACAATAATTTTTAATAACAAGGATCACCCACTGACTAATAAATGAAACAGCCAATTTGTTTTAAATGGAAATAGAATTAAGGAAGAGTTTTCATGAAGTTTGGAGTAGATGTAAATATCTACAGCTAATTATAATCCACTGGATTATAATCTAATAAAGTCTTCTGTATTTACATATACATTATTGCCAGATTCTATTCTGATTTAGAAATCCATACATAAATGGAGGTTGCCCTACAAAAAATATACAGGCACCTTGCCACATTTCTTTTGTCTTGTTATATTGAGAAATATATTCTGAACAGAGTAAAATATTGCAAACCATGATTTCTTCTTCATGTCATCTTGAATTTAAGCCCATAAAAACTATACAATGAAAGGTATCAATGATGCATACCAAAGCTTTATCCATAATTACTTGTATTTTCAGGTTTCTTTTCAACAGTACAACATCTGAATTTTCCTGTGAAACATAGGACATAAATTAAATAAAACATTTTCAAAATTTTGTATTATAATGATCATGTTCATGATACAAACACAGAGGTAAATAAATATAAACTAGATATACACATACAAATATACCGATACATAGATATACGTCAAGTTGTTTCTGACTCATAGCGACCCCATGCATAGCAGAACAAAACACTGCCTGATTGCTTATGAATAGCAAAGAAACAAAGCTCTTTAGCTCTGCCAAAAATGGCCTGGAGCCACCCTACTGCACCAGTAAGCCTCAATCTGAAGGTAGTCACCTCTATTGTTCCATTGCTCGGCATGCCCATTGTAGCTGCCTCACTCTGTGGGCTAGGCAGCCAGCTGTGCCTTCTTGTGCCAGTCTCCTGGTTCTGCTGCCTCTGCTGCCACCATTTCTATGCCACTGCTTCTCATCATTTCTCACCATCTCTGGTGGTACAGCATTCTCTCTGTCTCCTGGGTCTAGGAGGTTCTCAGCACAGAGACTCCAAGTCCAAAGGACGTGCTGCTCTGAGCACTTCTTTCTTGGTAGTAGTGAGGTTCTCCTTTTCTACCTCTGAGACTAGCTCTCTTTTAAGACTAGTAGGATGGCAAAACTAATTCCTTCACACACACCCCAAAAAAAATCCAAACACATTGCCATTGAGTTGATTCTGACTCATAGCAACCCCCATTGGGTTTCTGAGGCTGTAAATCTTTACTGAAGTAGATCCCCCTATCTTCCTTCTGCAGAGCAGCTGGTGGGTATGAACTGCTGATCTTCTGCTTAACAACCAAATGCTTTATGCACTACACCACCAGAGTTCCTTCATTAGGGTTCCATATACCTTATTTTTGTGGTCCCACCTCCACAGGAGTTCCATATATTTTCTTTACATTGTTAGCAAGCTGTCCAATCCCTTTGTTGGGCCACAAGCACCTTATTTGCATAGTCCCACCCAATCATTTTGTGGGAGTCACAAGACCATGGTGAGAAAGGCCATATAAAAGCAATTCATTGCACCACATCAGTCATCAGGGAAATGCAGCTGAAAACCACAATGAGATACAACTATGAACACACCAGAATGGCTTAAATGAGAAAGAATGACTATAGCAAGTGTTGATGAGGGTATGGAGCAACCAGAATACTAATGTATTGCTGGTGGGAATGTGACATAGTACAACTGCTTTGGAAAACTTACAGGGTTACTTATAAAATTAAACAGGAACTTACCACATGACCTAGTAATAAGAGAAATGAAAGCATATATCTACACAAAGATTTTTATATCAATGTTTATAGCAGCTTGGAAACAATCTAAATGTCCAATAGGTGAATGGATAAAACCCAAAAAAACCAAACTCAGTGCCGTCAAGTCAATCCAAATTCATAGCGAACCCTCCTTGGGTTTCTGAAGTAGTGATATGGGAGCTCTGGTAGCATAGGGGCTAAGGCACTTGACTGCTAACCAGAAGGCTGGCAGTTCAAACCCACCAGCCACTCCTCGGAAAGAAGATGGGGCAATCTACTTCCGTAGTCATAATACCTCAGAAAACCAAGGAGGGGTCGCTATGAGTTGGGTCCGACTCGATGGCATATAACAACAACAACAACATATGTATACACACACACACACACACAAAATCACTAAAGTGCCTAAGGCATTTGACTGCTCACCAGAAGCCTGGCAGTTCAAACCCACCACCCGCTCCTCAGAAGGAAGACTGGGCAATCTACTTCTGTAGAGATACCACCTTGGAAAAACCCAAGGAGGGGTCACCATGAGTCCAATCGACCAACTGCAGTGAGTTATAGATTATTCTCCTTTAATTCCACAGAGATAAATGGAATTATATGGCATGCAATCTTTTATATCTATCTTCTTTCACTCATAATTCATTCATGCTATGGTTATTAAGGAGTTCAAAAAAAATCAACAAGACTAGAAGCTGGTTTGTTGAAAAGATTAATAAAATCAACAAACTACTTGCAAAGTTATCAAAGGAAGAGATGCAAATAACATGAATAAGAAATGAAATAGGTGACCTCACAACAGAACTAGTAGAAATAAAAGTAATATTATCAGGTTGGTAGTTAAGGTTGTTGTCAACTTGGCTGGGCCTTGTTGAGTGGCTGCGCAGCTGGATGTGGTTATTCCCTGTGGTGAGATTAGCGATCAGTTCCATAGTGGCATCTACTGAAGCAGCTTAATAGTATATAAGAAACAGCTTTGAGGAAGGTCTCTAGTGTTTTGGTACACGTGAACCCTGCATATAGCTGAATCTTCATTCAGTAGCCTGCCATGTTCGACCAGTCTTGGGACTTTCAATGGATTTGTATCAATGGCCTGCTGTGTAGTTTGGTAACATCAGGATTGTGCCTTTTTATTTGTCAACCTTGGGTTTGTCAGCCTCAGCAGCCAACAGCTACCTGAGTGAAGAAATCCTCCAGTTTTAGTGAGCTGGGAGCCAGAGGCAGAGCTGAAGCCCCCAGGGCTTTCACCCAGCACCTAGAGCCCAACACTTTGAACTTGTACTTCTAGCCTCCAAATCTGTAAGAGAATAAACTCCAGTTTGTTAAAGCCATCCCATCTGTGGTATCTCGTGTTAGAGTGGCACTATAGGCAACCAAAACATCAGGGTACTATGAAGAACTGTACTCCAACAAATTTGAAAACCTAGAAGGAATGGACATGTTTCTAGAAACATACTACTTACCTAAACTAACACAGACTGAAGTAGAAAATCTGAACATAACCATAACAAAAGAAGAAATTGAACAGGCCTTAAAAAAATTACCTACAAAAAAAGGTCTGATTCAAATGGTTTCATTGGAGAATTCTACCAATCATTCAGAGACGAGCTGCCACCAATCCTACTCAAACTATTCCAGAACACAGAGAAGGATGGAATCCTCCAAAATTCATTTTATGAAACAAGCATAACTCTGATACCAAAACCAGAAAAAGACACTACTAGAAAGGAAAACTACAGACCAATATCCCTCATGAATACAGATGCAAAAATCTTCAACAAATCCTAACCAATGAACTCTAACAAAATATATATAAAAAAAATAATAATACATCATGACTAAGTGAGATTCATACCAGGTATGTATGGTTGAACATTAGAAAAACAATCACGTAATCCATCACATAAGTAAAATAAAGGTAACTATTCACATGATAATATCAATTGGCACAGAAAAGGCATTTGATAACATCCGACACCCATGCCTGGTAAAAACTCTCAGAAAAATAGGAATAGAAGGGAAATTCCTTAATAAAGGGCATATTGGTGAAACCAACAGCCAATATTATTCTCAATGGAAAGAGACTGAAACCACTCTCCTTGTGAATGGGAACCAGACAAGGATGACCTCTATCTCTACTTCTATTTTATGTTGTATTGGAAGTCCTATCCAGGGCAATGAGGCAAGAAAGGGAAATCAAAGGCATCCAAACTGGTAAGGAAGAAGTAAAACTAACCCTATTTGCAGATTATATGATGCTATACATAGAAAACCCGAGAGTCTCAGCAAGAAAATTACTGGAACTTATTGAAAGATGCAGCATAGTGGCAGGATACAGGATAAACACACAAAAATCAGTTGGATTCCTCCACACCAGCAAAGAGGTCTCTGAAAAGGAAATAAAGAAATCAATACCATTTACAATAGCTACCAAAAGGTAAGATACCTGGGGATAAATCTTACCAGGAACACAAAAGACCTATACAAAGAAAATTACAAGACAGTAATTTAAGAAACTATAAGAGATCTACATAAATGGAAGTACACACCATGCTCATGGATAAGAAGATTGAGCATGGTGAAAATGTCCATTCTACCCAAAGCAATCTATATATTCAATGCAATCTTGATCCAGACTCCATCAACATTCTTTAAAGACATGGAAAATCCAATAACTAATTTTATATTGAAAGTAAAGAGACCCTGGATAAGCAAAGCACTATTGAAAAAGAAGAACAAAGTAAGAGAGGTCTCAAAGCCTACTACACAGCCACAGTTGTGAAGACAGCCTGGTATTGGTACAATGGCAGACACATAGACCAGTGGAACAGAATTGAGAACCCATAAATTGATCTATCAACCTATGGTCAGTTGATCTTTGGCTAAGGGCTAAAACCCATTCAATGGTGATGACAGAGTCTCTTTCACAAATGGTGCTGGCACAGCTGGATATCCATTTGCAGAAAACTGAAACAAGATCCATTCCTTACACTATACACAAAACTGAACTCCAGATGGATCAGACTTAAATGAGAAATGTAAAACTACAAAGTTCATCAAAGGAAAAATAGGTGCAAATATAGAGACCCTAATTTATGGCATAAATAGACTATCAAGCATAACCCAAGATGCACAAACAGCAGAACATGAACTAGATGATTGGGACTTTCTAAAAATTAAATTCTTATGTGCATCAAAAGACTTCTTCAAAAGAGTGAAAGGAGAACCAACAGAATAGGAAAAAAATATTCGGCAATGACATATTGGGCAAAGGACTTACCTCTAAAATTTACAGAAAATTCCAATGCCTCAACATCAAAATGAAACACACCAATTAAAAAATGGGCAGAAGACATGAACAGACACTTCACCAAACAAGATATTCTGGTGACCAAAAAGCACATGAAGAAATGTTCTTGATCATTTGCTGTTAGAGGATGCAAATCAAAACAACCATGAGATACCATCTCAGCCCAGCATTAATAGGAAAGTTTAACAACACAGAAAATAACAAGTGTTGATGGGGATGTGGAGAGTTTGGGACTCTCATGCACTACTGGTGGGACTGTCAAATGATACAACCACTGTGGAAGAAAAAAAAAGTTGGAAACAAAAATACCATTTGATCCAGCAATCCCATTACCTAATCCCATTTAGGATTAGGCATATATCCTAAGGAAGTGAAAGGCAGGACACAAATAGCTATGTGCACACCCATATTCAATATAGCACTATTCACAATAGCA